CAAATGCGTACACTGCTGTTTTTATAATAGCAATTGTTCTTTCCGTTACCAGTTATATTTTTTAATTTTAATTTTAAGTTATATTTTAATTTTCATTAAATACTTCATGCAAATGTCCTCTGGAAACAAATCCAAACAAAAAGACTTCGGGTTTCAGTCGTTCTTACCTGTAACAAAAAAAAAAAAAACCAATTAAAAACCATAATTAGTATTTTCGCCTTTCGCGTTGTAAATTTGTTTTTATAATTTGAAATTCATCCGACGACAACGATAACATATTCGCGCTGTAATAATTATAAAACCGGTAGCGAAGAAAAGCCGGGGGAAATATTCCTGAAACAAATTCAACGTTAACGACGAACCTTAATTATGTTGTTAATTTATAATAGACCAGTCGAAAACTTGTAACCAAACTTCCGGGGTGTGCTGCTCGAAAGTAGTGAAAACCCACCGCCGCGCTATTGTTTTATCGTATACGCTGCTCTCAAAACGAACGTCCATTTAAGGCGCAAACTAATAATAATAAATAAATAAATAACCGCAGTGTATTCCATGTATATGTGGCGATAAAACACGGTTTAACGCCACCGTGAAATAAGTATTCATTCGTGCGGGCTGAAAAACAAGCCCCGCATTCCGAGATTGTTGTTGTTATTATTATTTTTTTTTTGTTTGCTTAATATACAATATTAATAAAAGCGCCGGGATGATAATAATTTCAATATTCATCGACTCGAAACTTTTTCAGTTAACAATTAAAATGAAAATAAAGTAATCAAAACGAATTTTCGCGTGTAATAAACTCCTCTCTCTCTCTCTCTCTTTGAAAGAGCACATTTTCCAGTACTTTTTTTTCGTTACACCGCAGACCTAGATGATCCTCTCCACTGAGCAACGACGAAGACCACGACAGTCTTGCGGTTTAGCTTTCTTTGTGGTAATAATCCTTCCCGTCGTCGTCGTCGTTTATAAGGATACAATTTGGCAATTGTGGGCTTTTATTTGTATTTAGTCATTATTTTTTTTTTCGGCCTCGGGCCCAATGCCAGAAACAGAAACGGCAGCGCGGTGACACGGGATACACACACACACACACACAAAAAAAAAAGGAGACGGAAACCCGTTTTTGACGTCCGCAGTCCGTTTTATTTCCAAACCATTTGTTACCACGGTACATACGTCGTCGTCCCCTTGGCCGAATCCAGCGTTTTCATTAACACACATATGTGAGCTTTTAGAGAAATCACGCATACAAAGGACAACGCACATTCGTATGTATTATATATACTCTGTACACCGGCTAATGTAAATTTTGATAAACGCTCGAGCGACGTCGCCGCCTCGACCGAGGATTTTCTATACACATATATAAATAATGATGGCCGGACCTAGGCCGTTTCCTCGGGATTAAATTAATGACCGTCCTGGCCCTCGTAAAGTGTTTCGGTTCACACGTAATTAGAAAACACACACACACATGCGTCCATAAGCCTCTACACCCTTTTCTCTTGTCTTTAGTCAAACCAACCGACCGTCTCACCCGGCCCAAAGTCGTTCATTTTCCATCATCGTAAACGACCCGACACCGTGTTATTTATTCTTCACTTCCGGCGCTTTCCGCTGGTGAATTTTAATCGCTCCCAGCAAGGCCAATGTTTTAATAAACCCAAATCCGGTCAGCCAGCACCTCGATCAACCGGCAGCACACGTCGTAAATAGGCTTTAAGCGCGAAAACGCTCTTTCCGAAAATTTGCTCCACTATCGTTGTCTCGTTGCAACTTACACTGTACACCGCCATATCGTCCCAACGACGGACGGTCCAGGTAAAACACAAGTCAAGTTCACGATCATCCGTTACCGACCAGACTATTTAAAAAATAGCGAACTCACCAGAATGAACGATAGGGTTTGATGGAATGTAAATTACTACCTATACAAATATAATAAAGAAATGTACTAAATTCTGTAAACATGCCTACAATTATTAAAAATATCTTGACTATTTTTCTACTGACAACTGCACATTTCATAATTTGCCATAATCAATTATGATTACCTCATTTATTACACAGTACCTAAACACGTCTGTGTTGTGCGAAAAGAAGATGGTAATAATAAAATAAGAACTCACAAGAAATATTGATAATGGAAAATATTGAAAATTGATACCGGTTTTGTGGGTTTCTCCTCGTTGGTTTTAATCTATAAGTCTCGATATTTTTTCACAAAATTATATTGCTAATAATTTGTTTAATGGTTTACGACGCATTTTTCAAATGGCGCAAACAAATTAGCATAAAATAATAATTTAGACGGAATGCGTTTTTTATTGTGCGCAAAAGTCGAAATACATTTTAGCGGAAACTAATATTTATTACATTAGCACTTGAATTATAATAGTAATAACCGTAAAAAATGTTGGAAACGATGGGAGTAGTGAATTTGATCAAAGGCAGTGGTCAGGGACGAATCTGTAGTTATTTTATATAGCGGTATGCTTACTTATATTGAACTTTTGCTAACTTATCTTAACTTCTTTTCTCGTTGTTGTTTTTTTTTTTTGTTCTGCCTTCTCGCCCGCGCAAGTCATTATGCTCTATGACCCGTGAAATAACCTTGTCCGCCCAATGGCCAACGTTATTTTCTCGTTCGACGGCCGCCGGCCTTTTTTTCTGCTATAATATTTTATAGTGTCTTACTTTACAAGGCGCTCTTTTAGCCAAAACTCCACGGACCTTCTTATTGGCGGACAAAGTGGCAAAATGGGAATTGCAAATTATGCCGGCATCGAATAATTCCTACTTAACCCGATGCAAAAACGACGGATCCGGTCAACGACTGTAATAAACTCGGATTACGGTTACCGTATTTACCACTATTGCTTTTGCTACTATTTTTTTTCGTTTCGCACATTGAAAGGAGATAAATTCTTCTATGCGTAGGAGAATTTTCATTTTTTAACAACCGCCGAGCCACACTCGGGCGCCTATAGATATATATTTTCCGTGCTGCACGTAAATTTTGCTTCGGGTAAAAAAAAAAAAAAAATTACACACATAACTCCGGTGGACGCATCGTAAAAAATAACATTCGAATCACGTACACGGAGAAAATTGTATGGGTAAAAAAAAAAAATACTTCTACTGCTATACTTCTCTGCTGTCTCTGGAAGTGGGCAGGAAGAAAATAAGAAAAAGCACATCGTTTCTTGCAATTCCACCGGGCCTCTTTGAACTATTACGATTTACTTTCCGCCGTCCCTGCCTTCTTGGCCGTGCTCAGTCAACCGATATACAATTAAACCGGATTTATATTAGTCCTGGTACTGACGGTAAAGCAATTTTTGTTTTTGTTTTCCGCACAGCCGCCACACAACAGTGCCTTATTCCGTCCCCAAATGACTGCTGTAAAGCAGCAGCTACACGTGTCGGTCCGGTTAAGTCTCACAAAAATGGAAATGATATATTTTTTTCTAAAATACAATTCGCGAGCCGCCTGTCCTATCTCGGCGTGATCATCTCACCGACAACAGCGGTCTTCTCGCCACCTCCGAGATAAGAGATCATGCGCAACGATAGAACACCGTGGCTGTAACTTGTAATACGTGCAGTGTTCAGTGATATTTAGATAACAAGTTCGAGCAAATTTTAGGTTAAATTTATAACCTCGTTTAAGCGACTCGTGCGGCAAAATTATTTTCCAGAGCTTTAAGCGCGCAGGCCGTCGTGTTACGTTACCGCATGAAAACACATTATCATCATTATTATCATGAGAGCTTCGTGTTAGATAACGCGCGTTAGAAAGAGACTATAATTTAGTTTTACAACAGCGGCTACAGCGTTTTTGTCGAAAATATAATATAGAAAAACTCTATTCGCTTCGTGTGTACATAGTGTACATGTAATGTAAGTATTACTTATTACTCGCATATTCTTTTTGTAAATTGGAACAATTAAATGTTAATTCCTGGTCTCTAGACAAAGCCAACAAACGAGTAGAGAAATTAACCGTGCCCCCGCTAACCGGGTCGACCAAGTTGGCAGATTGCACGTAGAATATGTCTGTGATTATAGTATGTGTTGCGCCGCGCGGTCTACATAGTTAACTTTTGTATACCAACATATGTATATATATATATATATACTATCGGTTAGGTATTCATCATTCACTTGAGAGTGCAAATGTGTCTCGCGGGCTGAATTTAGTCGTGCACTCGAACGCAATCAATTACACGTCCTTAGTAATTTACGTTTCATTGATTATATTTTAGCCCCGGCGACACCTGGTGTGGAGCTCGAATAATTCCGGTACATGTACTGCACACAATGGATCTAAAACCGATATTTTATGAGGAACGGGAGAGGAAGAACGCCGAGAGACACGGGGAGGCGGTGGTACGCGAATTTATTACTGAAATTGGAACTGACATATTTGGTTATACTTGGCATATATTTTGTTTTGGGGTTAAGACAAAACCGGTAACATGCGCCGTGGTGATAGCCGTCGATGAGAGATAATAAACGCATTTTTACTGATAAGAGCTTCACCGCATATTTTCCAATAATTATATAGCAACGACGAGCGCGTTATAATGCCTCTGTTATTGATCGACGAAAATTTGTTTGTCCACTTCCATAAGACCCATAAACGTACCAAAGCGATAAAAATCGGCTATTAAATTATGAGACGTATCCATGATTGAAATACACAAGGTTATTGCGCATATACCACTTCTTCACGAAATATTCGATGATAAAAACAAATATGTCAGCGTAAAGGGAGCTTAAATCAAGTATATACTATGTACACAGTGCAATATAAAGTAATAGTAAAATTTATATACCCTTACGCGCTACCATTTTGTTTTTGAAGATTACAATTCGAGAAAATGTGCAATAACCCGTGTATTTCAACCATCTTACATCACGCCGCCCTTAGCGAAAATCTATACATTAAACCTAAACTTTTGTGTTCATTTGTTTTATTTTTATTTTTATAGAATATCACATTAGAACCTGAAAACATGGAAAAGCTCAGGTCGCTGTCGAGCATTCGACTGACCGGAGACGGGGACACGAGCATCACGTTTATCGGCAGGACGTTCGCGCAGACCACTAACCTGACCATGTTGGTGGTATCTGGTTTCGCGGAATTCACCGTCAAGAAAGACGGGTTGCTGATCAAAAACAAGGACGTGGGCGAGATAACGTTGAACGTCGAGATCGATCGAGTGCAAAAAGTCTACCTGGACACGAACGCCATTCAGCTACAAGCGGGCACCGTGGACGTTACCATCAGAGACTGCGGTACGGTGCGGCTTAGCGAAAAGATTGTGTCCAAGTTGAAGACATTCACGTTCCTGAGGATCGGCAGCCTGGAAATGTCGAAAGGAACGTTCGAGGAAGCCGCTGTGGGCGCCATCGAACAGGTAAACCGCGCATAAATTTCTACTGCCAATTTACAATTTTTTGTTACAAAGAGAAACCGTACAATTCGGGAAAAAGCAAAACCGGGAAAGTTGAGAAAAAAAAAATACCAAGTGCCTACAGTTACACACCATAGGCTGTGGTCTACAACAACAAATAGATATCACCGAGAGTTTAATGGATCGGATAGTGATTAGTTTTTTGCAATATATTTAAAAGGGAAATAAAACATGCGAGGCGGGTCATAACGGGTCATCGTAAAAGCGCACACGCATGGTTAATAAACGATTGTTACCAAAGACGAAGGGGGGGGGAGGATATAAACTTAAAAACTTGTTGTATATTTAAAAGCGCGAAAACTTTGAAATTAATTACAAGTAACGTAAACTTCCAGGAGTTTATAGCTTTTAGGTACCTAGCTCTTAAAGTAAAAGAAAAAAAAAACGTTGCGAGCAAAAAGATAAATATCTCTTTTTAACTGTACGAGTGTTGGAGATAATAATTTTAAGGGCTCAACACGAATGCTTTTAACAGTTTTCGGCTGATACGCAAGCGCGTTTTTTTTTTTAGGCCACCCACACTTACCGAAAGGTGATAAACGCACGTTTATGCGAAGATAAACTGCCACCCCCCTCCCCAGCATTACCATAAGTTTAGGCTTTAATTTTCATTAGAGTCTTTTATTTTCTTCCCCCGTTAAAATTATCTCATAACAGTCGTGCAAGACGTATACACAGCTATTTAATCATCCGTTTAATTACACACAATGAGTTTTTTATTATTATTTTTTTTAAAAATTATTGTGGGTTTATGCTCTTTTTCCAGATAACTTTGGACAATGTTTTCCTGGGCACTATACCCTCGTCCGCGTTCGTCACGTCCATCAGCTCTCTGACAATGCGCAACTGTTCGATCAATCTGATCAGCCGCGAGGCATTCCCCAAGAACATGTTCAACAGCGCCACGTTAACCGACGTGACAATTGGCAAGATAGAGAACCAAGCGTTCAGGGAATCCACGTTCATGAACGCGTTGCGATTGACCAGGTGCCGAGTTCAAGACTTGGACAAAGGAGCATTCACGGCCATCGTCAACGACATCGTCATCGAACAGTCGGAGTGAGTTTATTTTCAAAACTATGTTACCGATAAACCGTACCTTTTGGGGGTGGACGGTCAAAAACTAAACGACTAATCTGATAAATTATTTAAGTAAGTCACCATCATAAAACCCACACAACGGCAAGCTCAACAGAAACGGTAAAAGCGTATTATGACACGCGAAAACGCCACTCGATTGTGTGTTAAGCAAATAAAAAACCATACCTTGGTACTATATTTTCAAGTCGTTATAAACATAACAACGCTAGTGAAACAAGCGGTTAATGCAAATAACAAATTTTGGAAACGGGAACGCGGCCAAAGCGTGTTACTAGCGAACAACAACAAGTACAGGTTGGCGGAAAAATTTTAATTAAACCAATTCGGTTATTTTTTTTTGTCCACCTTTTATAACTCGTTAACCCGAATCTCGCACTGGTCGAGGAACTTGTCGTTTCGTATTAAAACAATCAGTCGTTAAAAAAAAAATATGAAATTTTCTTAACGGTTAGCCGTAGAAAACGTTTTTATTATACTGCTGCCAGTCTACTTATAAGTGTAATAAAAAGGCGAAAAATTGCATTTTTTTATAACGCTAGCCGATCGCTTAAGAGAAAAAAAATTCTACTATTTTTCGCCGAACGATAAAAACTAAAGCTCACAACTTTTTAATTTTAAACCTGCCAACCAAGGGTTACTCGTTTTGGCGGCATAAACGATACGAATTAAGCGCGTTCATTGTTGTCAACTTACCGACTTGTAAAACACACAAAAGAATAAGAGTCAACAAATAACGTTACCTATTTTTCAACTCGCAGGCGTCGCGACATAACGTCAATGAAGTTTAACAATCCAATGAATTTTCTGCACGCCATTCGTTGTTGGAGTGCATTTTTTTTTACCGTTTCCTCACAATGGAATCCCCGATGCGGAAACTTTTACCGAGAAATATCAATTTTTTTTTTTATAAGAACGGCCTAGTTTGAGAAGAGCTGATGGGACTTTTATTCCGTTTCATTCGTATAATTTTAATCCGGGATTAAAGTGTATCGGCCATGTCCGTCGCACAAATATAACTAAAACTAAAACAACTGACATCTTCGTATAAGCTTATTAAAAACAATGCAATTGAAAACAGTACACTTCTCGGCGTTTGCGAGTCGCTGGCAACTCGTTAAGTTTAAGTAATACCTAAAACAATTAATCCGTGTTTCATTAATTCCGAAATTGGTCGAAGCAAGACGATTCCAAGGTGGACTTGAACCAATTTAAACCATTGTAAAATATACCAAACGCTGTCGTCTGCCGTCTGCAAGACAATACAATATGAAGACAACAATTTTAATGTATTTCTACGGATTGTTTTTTATTTATTTATCACTATTGTTCAAGTTTACCGGGTTTTAGATTCTCGGACGGTTCAAAATGAGTTTCTTCTGTCAATAGATTATTTTAAACGCCTTTGTAACTGATCATCAGGTTAATTTTAATGACCACAGCATTAACTTGAAAATAATTATCGTCAGTAGGGTTAAGCTCCGTTTATATTATTGCTCAATATTTATCATATGGAATGCATTTAAACGCATGCCGTTTGCTCGGACAAAAAAAGCTCATATCGTTAGCCAGAGCGAGAGAGAAAAAGGTGCGCATCAATCAAAAAATAAAGGCTTTAATTTTTTTTATTTTATATCCTTTTTCATGATAGGTATGTACTTTTTTTTTTTTTTTGCTTTTCCCGTCACGCGTAATCTTTTTTAATGCACGTCCATCACAGTCCGATGCATTTGTGTGTAAATACATATTCAAATACACAGAGAATTAATCAATCCGGTACACATGAAAAACCCGCCCAGTTAAATGTAATTATTGAAAGTCACCGTTGATGAGTATTAATTGCGTTTCGGTGAATAATAGTAATTGTACAGCTTGTGCGAGTACTCGATCACCGGCAAAACGTTATTAAGTTAATATGCACAGTACACACCCCCACTTGCAATTGTAACAGGTACGCCTATAATACATAATTGGTTCATCTGAAATATTACGGTGGTTTTATTAGCCGGGAAACGAGTAGGACCTGACCGACGTTCTTCGAAACAAGTACAGACTCTCATCTCAAAAACACAATAATTACCTACATACATTAAACGACACACTCACATGGTATCTGTAAATGTCATGTTCTGCTAAAGACCATCAGCTGTCCCTGGTTCCGTTTAAGTTATTTAAATTGTCACCTTCTAGACCTCGGTAATTTTTCTTTGGTTGTAAAACACGGACTACTTTATTTTTTACAAAACATTTTAACATTGTACTTGTAAATTTCGTACTTTCACAACTGTCAATGAAAAAAAAAACCTTTATTGTTCTTCTCATCTCATTATCTATTCTCCATGTTTCTGGTGAGTTTTGTCTCATACTATATACAAATCTACCCTTAACCCTGATTTTTTTCTACTCTGGTCTTTTTTATTATATACATTGTGCGTTGGCGGTTGCAACGAAAGGGTCGCGATAAATAATACCTTTGAAACATATAAGGTTGTTGCTGAAACTACACGATAGGTTTGCGGCAACAATTTTTGAAGGAAGACGAATAGCCGTCGTCGTTTTTAAATCATCGAAAATGGCAAGACAAGACGGGCACATCGACAACAGGTGAATGAACAAACTCGGCGGGAATCTGTATTTGACCCTGGGCTATTCCGGCGCTGAAAAAAAAGCGTGTGGCGAACACTGTAATTGAAAAAAAAAGTTTTGAGCTTAAATGACGACCATATATCATATTCCACGCGCTACTCCAAATTACCTAGAGCCGCGAAATCCGAGTAATAAATCCACCGGGGGAGTGTTGTGTTTTATGCGTGCTTTCATGGCAAATGAGCGATGTGCCCCAGCAGAAAGAGAGGTGGGTAAAGCGAAAACACAATATCAAACCCATAATTTTTCGACCCGTCGATGGGGGTTAAAAATACAAAAGAAAAAAAAATACATACATGTATGTAAATACTAGTAATAAATAAAAAAAAAATAGTGGAGATGCGCCGAATGTAAAACGCCACTTTGTTCTCTCGTGGAAATACTTATAAAACAAATCGAATACAATTAATGTCATATTAAAGGAAAATCAGTATTGGATTATTTTTTTGTTCAATGGTCTGAACACTACAAATTACAAATTTTATTAGAATGATCATAAAAAAAAAAATGATAATTTTTATTGTTTTAGAATAGGTGTTGGTATTATGGAATAGATTTTTATTATTTACAGCTAATACAAACAAATCAAGTCCCGGTATCTGTTTAACACAAATTTTCATTATAAATTGATGTCATTACTATTTTAAAACATCATGTCTTACAATAAAAAACAAATAGACCCGCTGTCTCATAATAAATACTTATTCTATATTCGGTGCATCTCCTCTAATAATTAAACCTCTAACGTTGGTCCTTTGGGAAAATACAGGGTTTTACTTAGCGTAAACCCGAGAAATCGGTTCAACGGTTTAGAAGGTATCGTGGATCCAGGAATAAAAATAAAAACACATAATTGTACAAAACAGTATACACCTTTTCAGGTCTGCATCGAAGCTAAAAATTATAAATGAAAGCAAAAACAAAAATCAATCACTATTGTCTAAGCACAACACTGTCACCGTTTATAGTCCGTCTTTCGATCTACCCTGGCTTTACCCTCTCCACGATAAATATTAAATCCAAATGGTTATTGTTTTATTTTTTTTGGTCGTCGGGTCGAGTGTTTTGCTTAACGTTAAACTACTTCTCTGACTTTACCATTAGCTCGATCAGCCCAGATCCTGTGGGCCATACGTCACAGTGAACCGTTCTGAAACGATCTCGCCCTTTTTTGCATGGCCGACCGTAAGTCGTTTCATCATCTCTACCATCGCAGCCGATTACACTCAAAGCAAATGAGTGATAGATGTGAAGGTCGGGGGGGGGTCGTTAAATTACACAAGGGGCCCTGAACGGACCGTACGCCCACGCACATAATGTATATGTATTAATTAGGAACGGTTGCAGACCAAACTTTAGCGTAGTAAAACCCTTTACCGAATCAGTATATACAAAAAAAAAATCACACTATATTTCCGGGTATTTCTCGTTTTCCACCCTCTCTCTCGCCCTGTCCCTATTTTGTCTTCTACACGGCAGTTTCCATTGCTCTCCGCAACCACTACACATCATAATACACAGAGACTCGGCACACACTGTAGGGAATTCGTTGGCTGAAAATAATAATCAGCGATAATTTATCGCGTACGGCTTGGCGCATACATCATTTTCGTGTCACCGCACTAATTATATACCTTGGCCGGGAAAACACATATACAACGGTCTGAAAAGTTGTATTTTTTCACTCTCCCCCCCGTATGAGTGGCGAAACGTGCGAGCAAAGAGCCGGGGAATCAAAAAGAGTGAGCGTTCTAATGGGAAGTGACGGGTTTCGGGAAAAAAGTAGTCAACGTCGCATTGCTGCACCCTACGCCGCCACAATAATATTGCACATGTACAGCCAAATACAGTAACAAGTCGAGGGGAGAAAAAATCAACCAAAACGGACCTAACCGAGACACTGTTTGGATTTTGAGACAATAATCTTTCAACCAGTAATTACATCTACTACCGACGGACGAGTAGATACGTTTACAGTGTCAATCTTTAAACGCCAGCTACCACATAGCTTATTATCTAACGCCGAAGATGTGAAATATTTTCTAATGAAATGTTTTGGGGATTCAAAACGTCCCGGCCGTTGGCGTAAAACCGCTAATAAATGTCGTTTCCGTTTAAATACACCAGACCGGAGAAAACGTGCTAGTCAACGGCAACCGTCTGTCAGGCTAAACCAGAACGAGGCGTTTCTTTTGCAACTTAAATGGAATTTGCCGAGTTCACGCAGCATAAACGTTTCTGATGCCAAGTCGTGTACCGGAGTCGGTTATTTAAAAGCGCACTTGATTATAAGTTTAAAACATGTTTTCGAGCAAAACGTATAAGTTCTTATCGAATCAAGATGTGTCAATTTTTCTTTATATACACCCTAGTGAACACTTGACCATTCAAAACTGTTGTAGATTCTGAACTTTTTACTCTCCGTTTTTTATCAGAAACCGTAAAAAACTTTTAACGAAATATTTTACTTCTATTTTTTCTGAAAATAAGCCCCAAATCACATGTGCAACGTCTAGTATGTGTTTCCATTATTCGACGGATCGAATAAGTTGAACAAATATTTTCCAAATACATAAATATCGATTTGGAGAGACAGTTTTTTTCCTTGTGTTGTTTACTTGCCGTTCAGCGCCGCCGCCGTCGGGTACTCCGAAAATCTAAAAACAATTCCAAATGTTTTTTTTACCCTTTTAACTTTTATAATCCGAGACCATACTCTTTCGGTTGGCGTCCACGAGCCTCGTGCCACTTCCGGTCCCATTACCGTTAATCATTATACATTATATGTTTGTTCGCAGTCGGCTCTGGTGGAAATTCAATTTACCATCAACCCGACCGTTATTATAATTATTATTTATCCGCGTGCCTTGTCCTCGCACTCGTTTTAAGTGGGCACCTATAAAAATAGACGACGTTATTCCACGAGAGACCCGGTCCAGCCAAACGTATAAAATATAATATATTATCAAAAAAAAAAAAAGGGTAACCGCCGTTCTTGTCCTCCACTTGTAGACATCAATACGATGCCGAAATAAAAGAAACATATACCCCTTGCATTAGTGTGCCGCCGGTATAAAGTGTGCCGAACCATAAGGTTTTCGGGTCCACAAAGGTTAGGTACATTTTAGGAGAGGCCATTTCTTATGATTACACGTCTTGACATGTAATACCGTTTTTATAATTTCCATTTCACAGAACTACTTTCGTTCGAGTACTTTATTTTTAAGTAGAAATAATCCTAGTAAGTAGTTGGTAATCTATTCGGTCTGGTCGAAAACCATGCGGCACACGAAATCGTCTACCTCTTAATTTCTAGCTGGTCCTGGTCCTTTCTAGCTAGTCTGCCAGATTAATCTGTCAGTTGAAGAAATGGGTACAATTTCCGGAATCGTGTTGACTCAAAAACCAAAAATGTGTAGCGTCGAGATTTGTTCCAAATTCGATTTTAACGAGGAGGGGGGGTATATAAAGGTACGGCTCGACGGCCGGCCTTAAAAAGCTGTACAGTTTTATTACTTTTTTATTATTATTTATTTTTTGTGTGTACACACAATCCGTGTCGTTTAATCAATAATTTGCGGATACCGCGTACCGCGATTGTTGATGTGTTCGTCTATAGGACCATTGACGCGTGGCTAATGCGAATCACACGGGTTTCCGAACTTGCGGGTTACAATCAATTTCAATACGATTCAAAAACCGCAACTTGTTAACCGCGTCAGAGGTACCTGTACGTTTTTCGGTAACGACAATTATTAGGGTTGTTCGGAAAAATACCGTCTACAATGTGCCGGCCGTTCGTTGGCTCTAAACTTTGTTTGAACAAGATGTGTATTTTTTTTTATGTCGTCCGCGTTGAAAACGCATGCATGTTTTTTTCGTTCATGTTTAAGTTGCACGTAAACGCGACAATTCCGCCAAAAAACTAAAACTGATTTTCTTATAGGTCGGCGGTTTTTCGTGGTTATAAGTTAAGTTAAATGTGGGTGGAAATTTGTACAGACTTGTTTTAATATGTTCGTTTTCGATCAATTAAATGTTTGTCTTTTTGCAGGTTCGGCACGATAGAGAGTGGCGCAGTGGTCGTGACGTACAATATGTCGTTAATCAACAACACGTTCGGGCGAGTGATGGCGCACGGCTTCACGCTGGCCAACTGGCACGAGGTCGTGGTCCAGGCCAACGTGTTCGAGGTGTTCGAACCGGAAGCTTTCTTCGAGTCCAACGCTCAACCGGCGGCCGGCTCGTCGTCGTCGGCGGTTGTCGTCAGCACGCATCTGACGTTCGACAACAACACTCTGGGTCGGGTTCCGGGCAACGGAACGGCTTGGACGCCGATCGTTCGGCTCAAGACGGCGGCCAACATGATGCGGGTCATGTACAACCGGGTGTCGGTGGTCACGTGCAATTGCACGGAACCCATGGTGTTCGTTACGATCGACGCCGACGGCAGCGACGAATCCGCGGGACGCGAACGCCAATTCTTGGAGAACAACTACTGTCGCGTGGACGCCGCGGTGTCCGGTTGCGCCAAGAACCTGACGGCGGACGACGTCGGTTACGCGGGGGCCGCCGAATTCCGTGCGATCGTCCGGTGCGAGTCCAAACTGCTGGCCGGCGTGTTTGACCGGTGCGTCCTCGACCAAAGAGACGTGAAAACGGTGGACCTCGATAGTAATTTTCGCATGTTTGGCACGTTCATGGGCCCAAAAGCCGAGCGAGGCGTCATCACCACACTCGTACTGTTGATACTGTGCGGGTTCGGTGCCGTGTGCGCGGTCAGTGCCATAACCTGGTTGAACGCCCGCGGTTACTTCATCAAACTACGGTCGCTGTTGACCCCGGGCGGAATCAGCGGTGGTCGGAGTGCGGGCAACTTGGGCAGGACCACGTCCGCGCACTCGCTGTCGCCGATTTCCGTGCACGAGTACGCCGAGTTGCAGAGGAACCGCACCGGAAGATCGGCCAACGACTATAACGGCGGCAGTATGGCGCCCGCCGTCCGGGTGGTCGTGTTCCAGGACAGGGGCACACAGACCGTACCGGAAGAACTGACGCAAGAAATGCTGCAGACGCTCCGGGACAAGCTGGACGACCCCGAAGACTACGCCGAAGCCCGGGACATGATCGAACACCTGTACGACCTGATCCGGGTGGAGGAGACGTGTTGCGGTAACGGCGGCATAGACTGGTACGGCGGGCTGGACGACATCACTTCGACCACTACCACCAAGGCCATCATCGTCGGCGGCCCGGACGGCACGTATTCCGGCGACGGCCGGCGTCGCGTGTCGGTGGGCATCGACGCGCCTTCACTCGAGAAACTGTGGCCGCCCAAAGTGACCGCCTCGAATCGCAAGTATTCGCGGCCGCCGCAACCGCCGCCCATGGCCGTCGGCGACGAATACATGGACCCGGCCGACCTGTACGCCGAATTGCAAAGGAACGACGCCGCAGGAGACACCTCGTCCGAGGCGCACATCTATTGCGAACTACCCAATTGATGAAACGACCCAAAGCATGTTCTCAACCGCCTTCACAAAGACTGTTCAAAACGAACGTCGACCCGCCGTCAAGATGTGTTTGATAACGGTATCGGTTTTCGCTAGAGACATTATTATTATTATAATTATTATAGCTGTTAAGTTTTTTTAGTTTTAATATTTCGTTTTAAGCGGACCGTTGCAAGTCCGTTGACTGATGATCGAATAAATAGATCCAAATTTTATATTATTTACACACAACGTTACTACTATTTATGATTGTATTTTATATTACTTTAATGTCTTTACGGTAGGAACTATCGAAACCCTTCCTACGCGTTTACGTGGCATATAGTCGCACCGTCGATGAACATTGTCATAAAAGCGCACAAAAATGTAATAAAAAAAAAAAAACCTTGGCGTGCGTGCGACCGACCGCCATTTAATTAAAATATAATTAATTATTGTGATGCTTATTATTACTATCCTTTTACTTTTACTATTTTTTTTGTCTGTTGTTGTTAGTCGTGTTTTATTAAATTTTGTGTCATAAATATTTATGAAATCCATAATATAATAATAAACATAATATATTATGAGTACCTATTATTAAATAAATACTATATTATTATGTTAAGTAAGTAGAATTATAAATATTATTGTACATAGATTTACAAATTAAATTATATTATTACGTTGTTATTTATAGACAAACATAAACCGAATGATTGTGATTTATTTTTAACAAAGAATAAAAAAAAAAAAAGGAAAAAGATTAAAAAAATACAAAGAACTACTTTATTTTTGTCTCGGTATAATTCCCGTCCGGTTTTAATACGGACGAGGAGTTTAATTAAAACCGGGTTTGACAACCGTCCGCAGAGAGACGTTCATTAAAAAGCCCTTGCCGAAATAACGCCACAGTATTGTAGCCAGCGATTGCAGCAGCTGCCACTGCTTGCATACACCGGATGCTTGGAATTTTCGTTTTTCAAAAGTGAAAACGCCGGAGATGCTTAGACACGCACCATACGGCTCGCCAAGCCGTGGACAACCCGCCGGGAAACACATTTGGGTACAAACGTGATAGAAAAATTACTTAAACAACGCAATACTCAAGGTCCGACGCTGCGGTGTCTCTGGTGTCTCTATTTTTACAAAAATCTCTCATTTGTCTTCCAAAAGTCCTTTAAAATTTTTGAAAACTTACATTGTTCGAATCCGGTGAATGTGACACTCAGAGGAGAAATACAAATCTAGGAAGTACGCTCGGTAAACTTAACGTACGTACTAACGATGACTCGAGCGAGTAGATAGAACTTGTTTTTATTTGTGTGTACTCTTTAGATGTTACCGGGGCGAATGACGTCACAATCAAATCACGTGACATTAACAAATCCGATAAAATAACAAAATAAAATAATATAAAAAGCGAAACAAAATTGAACGTCAAACGAATATTTCTTTCTTACTTTTTTTTCTATAAAAATAGGATTTGTCTCGGTGTTTACACTGCGGGCTTACAGTTGTCGTTGGAATACATTGTAGTTTTTGAAGTCAAAAGAAAGACCCTGACTTACAGTGTTCCTAGCCGTAGAGGTTATAACATGTTGTCGTATTATTCTACAATATAGAATATACATGAGTCAAATATTTACATTTAATACATTTTTTTTACAACACAACTCGTGTGTACGGATTAGATAACAAAATAAAAATAGTTAAGATTTTAAACAACGACTAGGTAGAAAACAGTCTTGTGGGAACATATTTTTATTCAAGTAATTAAATTATTAAAACTTACTATTTTTAACATTTCACCACTGTTGACCAAATAAGAAGTAAAACAACAATAATGAGAAATAACAAAACCAGAAAATACATTTTATTATTTTATGTGCACTGTTACACCAGGCCATTAATATACTCAAAATTTTTTTTATTTTATGAAAACACGGGTCACTTTTAAATGGTGCCATATTTATTTTCCAAACGGTAAACAAAAAATATAACCGCCGTCTCCGAGAGTAAACTGCACGTGAGAGCTTATAGGTCGGAGATTAAATTACTTCCCAGAAGAACCTGTGCACGCTGCACCGGTTAGGTTACGGTTTTCTCGGGACCGACGGGAAAGAGTTACGCCGTAAAAGTTTGCCGTAATCGAATTTTTTCCATCCTTTATTCGCATTAGAACGCCGCCGAGTCGAATTAATTTTGGTAGTATAAACTTTTGCGCACTTAACGCCACGCGACTCGATGCGTCTATGAGACCGTCCGTAATTGAAAAACGTATTTTGATAATATAAGGAAAGTTTTTCGATAACACTCGGACGATCCAAAAACCGAGAGAGAGAGAGCGAAAACCAGGTGGTGGTGGTGGTGGTAACCGACACGAAGATCATGTCACGGGGAGCACAGGACAATATTTACTCAGTAATACCTACGTTTCAATCTCGCTTAGAGAGTTGGCCTTTTGCGAACACACAATTTCCTTTAGCTGTGTTTTTAATACACATTAGGCGGTCATCCGTCGACAAAAAACGTCGCGACGGTTCAAGTTGTAGGTAACAAGACATGTGATTAACAACACAGGACTCTTGGTCGTCTTTCTTGGCGTACACAAGACAAACAGCAGAGTTCAATCATCTACACACTGGTCACGTGCGGAATTAACGAACACAATAATGGTTGGACTTGCCTCTGTTCAGCGTCGACGAGGCCTTTGGTTTTACGCACGAGACGACTTAGGCCGCAGTCTGATCCGAATAAACACTATCGCCAAACACCGAATGGGAATGCTCATAAGTTTCGGGTTAACAAACACACACCACAAAGGAGTACATAAAGTGCTCCGGAGTTTATCAAACATCAAAGAGTCATCATCGTTAATATTGTGGTGTCGTTCTAAGACGTTGGAAATTAATCTTACGCCGCCAGATGCCGGTTTGGAGTAGTCTGATAGACAATAAAATATTATTATTTAATTATAGTCAAATACAACTAGTAGAGTTTATAGACAAAATTTAGATAACTAAAACATCTTCTTCGTAAGCTAATAAAAGGTTAACGTCGTACAAAAAGTGACTGAATCCCAACAGAGATACATATTAACTAGTAGTTGTAGATTACTTTAGGTTTAAGTAAACGTGTATTTTTCGGGGTTGAAGTTTCTGTTAAACAGAAACTTTAAATACATTTTTAACTTAGTCGCATTCGCCATTGGAATTATATTAAAATTTATACGCACAAATTTGACAGTATCTGTAAATGCGGTCGTAACTTTTGGGCGATGCACACGAGGCGTCGCCTAAATTATTAATATTCAGACGTCTAAATGTGAGCCGATCAACCCACACAAGGTAAAAAATCTATAGTTTTTCTACTAAAATTTATTATTTATACGAGTTCGCTTGTAGTCGAATTCAATGCTGTATAATTCAACACTACAACACGTGTTTAGGACCCGCCGAGGACAGCTTCGGGAGAAAAAACGAGTTGCCATTGGTTTTTCTAGTTTCTCCTTGGTCAGAGCGCTTAGACGTTCCCAGTCGAGTTCAGGTATCCTCATTATTATTATTTATACTTAACCGTCACACGTGTCAAGATACTGTTAGTTGTCGACCGAACTAAACGGACTCTTATGCCCATAAACTAATTCATACCGTATATAGACACAAATTGCCCTGACTTAACGATTGTTTGTCTTGGACGTGTTAACCTATGTCGACTTGCGGATTATTAATATGAATATTATTGTTAAAAAACAGTAAGTCTCTCGAATTCTCATACTTATTGTAGTGACTCTGAATATGTCGTCCTACAGTTTAGACCCACCCAAGATACACTTATTGCGTTTTTTACATTTAAACGTAGATGTTTGAACGCACGAATTCGGGAAAACAAAATTTTAATGAACTCTGAATAGTTTGTAATGCGTAATGTTGGTTCTTTGTAAACTAAGGCTTTCGCCGAAAAGACATTAACTGAGATATGTAAATCTAAAACGCCGTTTCAAGCATCGCGATTTTCTATAAAGCTCATTTATTACTTTTGTAACTGTAATATTAAGACCCATTCACATTGACATCAAATAATCGCATACACTCCTCGAGGAAGAGAAATATAATAATATAACATGTAACAAATTATACATTACAACTCGAGTGTTTAATTTTTCGCATTGACATCCTTTAGGAATTCAATAGAATCTTTAATTCTAGAAATTCCAAAAAAAAAAAAGTGAACAACAATAACAGACTAATGATGATGATTCTTAACCACAATGTATTTTGTTGCCGCATCTTAATGAAAAAAAAACAAACCAAAATATTACATTTTTACAATTAACTCGAGCATTCTTGTTGTACAGTATTACTTTTCTCCTTCAATCTCTTCTTTTTTTTGCAACTTTTAAGAGGTACACGCTACAATTATTATTATACTTCTCTGTGAATACACAAGCTAACCATTTTTTACCTTCGTTTCTTAAAGTTTCCCAAGTTGACAATTTAAAACAAGACGGATCGGCAGTGGAAAGAGTAAAGTTTTGCTGGCAAGAGATTTACTTTTGAAATTTCTTCATAAATAAACACTAATGAGCTTTTCTTTTGCTTGTTTTTGTAATTTTAAGTTTTACCGGATTTAAACTACGGTCAACACGCATCATTTTTCTCAATGATCGCTTGGACGGTTTTTGAAGTTTTTTTTTTCCCCGTTTGGTATACAATCTTGCAGCAACAGCATAAGCATATCGATTGAAAAACTAGTAGTAAATACAGTCATGTTCATTTTTTACCAACTACAAGTCCATGTTTCAAACATTGACAATATTAAAGTCATGAAACTCTATACTGGATAACGTCAACTTAAACTTCCTTGCCTATCTAATCATTCCAATGCTTATTATGCTATCGTGAAGTGCTGCCATTGCAAAATAAAGAGATGCTGTTAGCGCGATGACAAGTGGCTTTCTATACGAGAAGTTAGCTTGACTGAGAGTCTAAGACTATTGTAGTTAGAGACAAGTATAAAGAAAGTAGCACATCATGGATACCGGTGAATTTCAAGGGTAAAGCTTGTCCGGGTTTCCTGTATACGACCGGCAATAGAGATAGAGAAGTACAACCACCGCAGTGTTGTGCACAACTATATGTCAAGCCATTCGTTTATACAAGCGACGTCTTAGGTACTTATAAATAATTCAATAGAACAGTGCGGGGGTGGTGGAAAGAAATAGCCGACGGCAATATGTTTTTGAGGGGAAATCGCCCAATGAAAAAATAAACCATCCGGTCCGAATGAATTTTGGATGAACGGTGGTCGGTACCGATTACACGCATACACTTAGGCGCCCCACCCTCTTGCCCATATACCGATGCTGATGTTGTTGTTGTTGCTAGGACACACGTGTCGCTGTGCTTAGACTTTGGAAAAAGTCCACACCGATTTGGGATGAGAAGAATGTCAGGATTAAAAATAATCGTGCGTTTCTAATACCGTTCTACCGAAGAAAACGAATGGCGTTTGTAATGAACACGACGACCTTAGATCCGTGTAATCTAAATCATGGCTGGCAAAGGCGTTTGTTTTTTAATATAGCGCTAACCGAAGACGGACGAATTGATATCCGTTCGCCACGACTTTGATGATGATGATCAACATCGTCATCGCATATTACAATCATAATAATAGTAAATGTAATAATAAACACATAAATAGTAATAATCATA